ACTATAGACATTTCCATCATTTAGCAGACTATAGCTCCTCACATTGACAATCAGCTGGCAGAACCGCCCCTCGTGACAATTGTTGGTTTGTTTGTTCATTCATTAAGTTCGTGATGTTAAATTTAAAAATCTGAGACTGATCACTACTGTAAATATTTCTTAACATAAAGCATATTCATTTACAAGTGTATATATATAATTTTTTTTTCTTCTAAACACTTGCATATTTCTTAGTTTGAGTTTCTCTCAGTTGCTAGTAGCAGTAAATTGGGTGTGCCACAGAATACGGAGGCCGGAAAGTTGCCCCTTTACACTGCGGAGGTGCAGAGGAGTTCTATTTTTTACCGTTTATTAAAATGTTTTGTCATTATTTACATATTGAATGATGGGCTTAAATGTTTGTCCTAAAGTCTCTCTGTCTCTCTGTCTCTCTGTCTCTCTGTCTCTCTGTCTCTCTGTCGAGGCTCCTTTGAAGCCTATGGGGCCTGAACACAGGGATGCTACTAGAGAGAGATAATAATTTCCATTTCAATTCACCAATTTGGACTATTTTGTGTATGTCCATGAACTCCAAATAAAATTATATTTAAATTACAGGTTGTAATGCAACAAAATGCCAAGGGGAATACTTTTGCAAGGCCCTGTACAGACAGTAACACCAAATGGCCTGAATGAGAGGTGGATGGAATATAACATGGTTGTCTTATATTTATATATTTATATAACATTTAGTTTAGTTTAGCCTTTCCTTTCCTCTCTTTTAGTTTTTTTGTTTTAACAGAATAAAACAATAAAACCAAGTCATGTATATAGTTGATTTTAGATTCACATTATCAAACAACGCTATGGTTGAATATATCTCTCACCATATATGATCCTGTAATGCCACACAGAAAAACAGTCATTTTAGAACCTTCTTCACTTAATTTATGATCCTAGGAGGACACCTACTGGCCCTTTTAAGTTTTAGACACAAAATAACAAATGTGTTGCTACAGGGAGGGGGAGACATAGGAGATAGGCCTGTGCAATGGAAAGCACTGGCTAACCCGAAGCACAATCCTATTCAAAACCTAACCCTGAACCTAACCTTAACCACACCATAACCCTAACCTCAACCCCACCCTAACCCTAACCTCAGGACTTAACGACAGAGTAACTTGGTGCGGATGCTTGGCAACCGACTGTGGGCGACGATCCTGGAATGGGGTGGCCCTCTATGGTTTTTGCCTGCTCAAACCTACACTAACCCTTTACCTCAACCTAACTCTAACCTTAACCTCACCCCAACGGATCATCCAGAGCAACAACACTACGAAGACAAAGGCTAGGTTAGGGTTAGGGTTAGGTTTAAGAGGGTTTATGTTTGTACTGGTTTCAAACCTTTAGGTTGCACGGGCCTATTGCACCTTTGCCCGGTCTCGAGAACGTGGGAGGACATGAGAGACAGAGAGCTCCGAGGGGGTCACCCACAACAATTCAAAAGTGTTAATGTTTTTTATTTATTCCTTGATATTCATCTCCAGTGGAGCCAAAGTATTAAGTTTTGAAATCCACCTGGATTCGGCCGCTTTTCTCTGGCCTCTGGTCCAGGTGGATTTCATCTCCAGACCGGTGATATGGAGGGAAGTTGTTGGGTGAATCTGAAAATGTTGGACCAGGTGTGTTTGTAATATGTTTTTTCTAATTGTGTAGAGGTGCTGTTTGAGGCGTGTCAGGACTGTGTGACCGGTTTCTCCTATATAAATGTTGTGGCATAGTGTGCATGTTATGGCATAGACAATATTGGTACTATGGATGGTCATGAGTTGTGAAATAGGACTGGAGGTTTGTGCATGTGGATTTTGAATGTGTGAAAGTTGTCTATGATACTGTTGTTCAACGGGTAGTTTAGGAGTAGATTTATTGGAAATTTTTGCAAAAATTAAGAGATCCCTTAAATTGGGGTTTCTGCGGAAAGCTGATATGGGTCTGAATTCCTGAAGTGGGGGGAATGTGCGTTGTGTTTGGGTGAAAGCGAATTTGAGTCTAGAGTGAAGGAGTCTGTTTACGTCAGAGAAGGTGCTGATAATGGGTATAATCTGGGGTTCTGTGTCTGTTGGGGGAATAGGAACAGGGGGTCTGGGAAAGGTCTGTGGGTGGAGGACCGGGATAGGATGGGGGGGATAGGGATACATACCCAGAATCGGGAAAGGGATAGGGATAGGCGTGGGCTGTTCCCCCAGGTCAGGAGTCAGTAACCCTGGTTCCCAGAGTTTCTCCCGGGTAGATCGTCTCATTCGGGCTGTCGTTCGGTTCCGATTTGGGTACTTTAGTTATATTTCCGCGCTTACCCGGTTTTCATAGTGTGAGTGGTATTTATTTTTGTGTTCTCGCTCCCAGTGCGTGTGGTACTCCGGTTTAGCATGGGCTGAATGGCCTCGTTGACGGGGGTCATTTCCAGTGTAAAGAGTTGAAGGTTTACGTGTAGCACGTACGAGATTATTCCGTCGTTTAATCCTGTGCTCTAAGTGTAGCATTGTTTAAACAGTTACTGCAGCTATGTTTGCCGTTTCCCCGTGACTCCTTATGTGTGCCTCCGTGGCCTTATAGTAGCTGCTGTTTGTCGCAGTGTCTATCATGCCCTTACGGTACCTTGTCCGCGCGGGTATAGTGATTGTTCCGGTATAGCTTAGGTAGCGCTCTGGTGCTTAGTATGCGTCTATGTAGTTAGCTAGGTTTACAGTCGCGGAGGGTTAGGGTTAAGGTTAGGGTTAGGGTTAGGGTTAGGGTTAGGTAGGTTAGGGTTAAGGTTAGAGGTAAGGTTAAGGTTAGGGTTAAGGTTAGGGGTAAGGTTGGGGGTAAGGTTGGGGTTAAGGTTAGGGGTAAGGTTAGGGTTAAGGTTAGGGTTAAGGTTAGGGTTAAGGTTAGGGTTAGGGTTAAGGTTAGGGTTAAGGTTAAGGTTAAGGTTAGAAGTAAGGTTAAGGTTAGGGTTAAGGTTAGGGGTAAGGTTAGGGTTAGGGTTAGGGTTAAGGTTAAGGTTAAGGTTAGGGTTGGGGTTAAGGTTAGTGTTAGAGGTAGGGTTAGGAGGATCAGGCAATCTGTTCTGGGTGAAGCCCGCCAGTGTGTTAGCCTTTATGTACCTCAGTGATCGCTTTGAATATCCCCTCTTTCTCAGTGCACTAAAAATAGTCTGTGTGGCTAGATTAAAGTCTTTATGTTGTGTACATAATCTATGAAATCGGTTAGGGTTAGGGTTGGATGATGTTATTGAGTATTTCAATAAACGTTGTGAAATGTACCAGATCATGTTCCCACACTCCGAAGATATCATCCAGGTATCGTCTATAAAACATGGGACGCAATGGGCATTTATCTAAGGCCGTCAACTCCCAGTCCGCCATATAAATATTAGCATAGGCTGGGGCAAACTTTTTGCCCATCGCCGTCCCATGAATCTGTAAGTAGTGTTTATTATTGAATGTGAAATCATTGTTTCTTAATCCAAGCTCTAGAAGCTGTAGGAGGTGTGAGTCTGGTCTATCTGGATCTGGATATCTCCGGAGTGCAGATTTCACTGCTGCTAAACCTGACAAGATATCTATGTTGGTGTAGAGAGAATCTATATCTATAGTGAATAGGTATGCGTTTGCTGGGACTGGAATGTTGTGAAGCGTGTCTATGAAGTGGTATGTGTCCTTCAGATAGCTGGGGTGCCTTTGTGAAATGGGGTTGAGGAAATAGTCAATAAACTCCGCTGCTGGCGAGGACTCACTCCCACAGTCCGACACAATAGGTCTTCCCTTCGGGACCTCAAAAGGGACTGTCCAGGTATCTGGTGTTTGATGTATCTTAGGGAGGAGATAGAAGAGTCTCTGTCTGGGTAAGTCTGGTCCATCTAGATATTCCTTTTGTCTATATGTAATGTATTTCTTTTTATAAAGATCTAATATTATGTGTCTAATTTTTATTTGTGTCTGGATCTGTGTAGAGGCAGGAATAGGGGTATAGTGTTGTGTGTTAGAGAGTTGGCGGTGATCTTCAAAAAGGTACTGTTGGTTGTCCATAATAATTATCTTTGAGCCTTTGTCTGCTGGTTTTATAGTTATATGTTTGTGTTTCCTTAATTTAGCTATGGCTTGTCTTTCTTCTACTGTGATATTCTGTTGTGAAGTTATGGTAGCGGTATGGAATTCTCTGATGATGTGTGTATTAGTTTTAATGAGTTTCCTAATGGGTGCTGATATTGTCTGTGATTTTGGTTCCCATCTGGATGGAGCTGTGAACGGAAGGGTTCGGTAATCCGATGTATAATCAAAGTGGTCCAAAAGTTTCAGAGCTCTATGATACCTGTAGATGTCCCTCTGGAGGTCCCCATAGTCAGAATGCAGTGGTGTGGGGATAAAAGTGAGTCCCCTCTCCAGCAGCCGAGTCTCAGAGGGTGATAAGTGAAATGTGGATGAAAGATTAAAGATGTTTATGTCTTGGTGGAGGGGCTGTGATGTAGGCATACCCTCCCCCACTATTTTAGCTGTTCCATCCAATGTTGGAGTATTTTTGCCCCTGTATCTGCTGTCCAGTGTATATTGTCTTTCTCTGTGTGGAAATCTGAATGGTGGATTTCTAATAGGGGGTTGTAGTGTGTGGCGATGTGTGAGTTGATATATTTCAACATGGTTTGTTGTTTCTCTGACAGGTGGGGAGAGTAGTTAATGATGGGGAAGTAAATTGCTGTTGCTTTACTGTGAAGTGATTGTAGTTGTCCTATGGGTGTTTGTTTCTGTGTTTGATCTTTGTTGTTCAGCCCCAGAGACAGCACAACCACCTTGGTGTTAGGATTTGGGGTAGATTTTGCCAATACCCCAGTAATGTGGTGGAACTGTGCTCCAGGATAACTGTCAATTTGGATGTGTTTGTACGGATGGTAGGGTATTCTTTTCAAATTTGAATCTCCAATGATAGCAATCGGTTTGAGAGATGTTATTTTCCAGTCATAGATTTTTCTGTTTGTCATGTCATGTCTAGTTGGCTGGTACAAGAATGGGGGGGTGGCTGGGGATGTTGGGGTAGAGTGTCTGGGTGAAGGCAGAGGGGTCTGAAGGAACCCTATTTTTTGGAGACAGACTAAGTGGGGTGGGTAAGAGGTATCTGGTGTGTGGAGAGGTTAGTATTGGGGAAGGTTCAGACAGGAAACTATTGGGATTGATTTTCCCTTTGGTTTCTGCCATCATCACAACTTTTTCCACCTTTACTCCCCTTTCCATAGTCACCACCTCAGCAGGGTTTTGGTGTTTATTTAGTTGAACCTCTGTTGGAACAAGAGTGGAGATGTTAGTGTCTGACACAGAGAGGTCAGAAATGTTTAGATCAGATTGAATCGCTACATTGCTGATAATTGGTGTTTGGGGTGGTTGTGTGGTCTCCGTGGCCCTAGTCCATGTGGGGGCACTCCTGGAATCAAGTTGGCTGCAGGGTCTGTGTATCACCTGCGCCTGGACTGTGATGGTCTTAGTCTGGGCTATGGTGTGCTTTGTCTGCACCATAGTTGACTGGAGAGTGGGAAATTCCTCCTCTCTAAGTTCAAAGTCTACTATAAATTCATCAGGGTCAGGTGGTGGGGAGGTGAACAGAGGATAAGCAAGGGTATCCCTATTAGGAGTTGGGGAAGGTACGGGTGGTATGTTATCTGGAGCCTTAGTCAGTGTCGAAGCTACGGGTATGGTAACAGTGCCCCTTGAGGACCAAGCCAAATCTGGAGAGGATGTTGGTTTGCTCCTAACAGACCTAGGAGCCAAAGTTGGGGCTTTAATTGCTTCAAGTCCCTGAACTGGTCGTGGTACCCTTCCTAAGGAGGATTGAGTCAGCCTGGAGGCCAGAGTGGATGGTAGTGTCCCGGCTAGGACGTGTGGGGAAGACCCTGAAGTTGGTAAGCTGGTCTTGGCTCTGGCTGTGGCTGTGGAACATGGCCATGAGGCTAGAGTAGGTCGTCTGGCCTGTGCTAAAGCTGGATTTGGTTCTAAAGCACTAGTGGATGGTGAGTCCTCTAACAGTGATTGCACTATGGGGACTGTACTGTCACGTAATTTGTGCCTGTACCTGTGTTGGGCCCAACGAGCTGCTGTCTGGAAGGCACTACTGTTAAACGGGAAGCCTGTAGGGGATAGAGTGTTTAGTATTGCCTGGTAGTGTTCATGCAAGATATGCATATTTGCTGACATCCAATTTTTTGTATTATCAGCTACTTTCTGCTTTGTCTCTATGTTGGGGGATGATGGTTTAATAAAGTCTGTGAGTTTAGTGACCTGTTTCATCATCCCCACTGGAAATGTCTGAGTGTTGAGTGCATGTTCAATGATTTGTTTGTGGTGTATGGCTTGTATCAGTTTGAAGTAGGTCTTAGTTGTGTGTTGAGTGGAAGGTGTGTTAGGCATTGTGTGTTGTGCTGTAGTGTGGGTGTTTGTCTCCCCCTCCTGCGGAAGGGTGTTCAAAACAGTGAATCTATTGCTAAGCATATTTAACCCAGCTAATGTTCAGTCACATACAGATAGTGGTTGTTGAATTATGCTTACCACATTCTGTGGGTGATAAAGCCTGGAAAGAGGGGTATTAGCACAGGTGGATGTTACAACCAACTTGACTGTTATACCGTTGAAGTGATAAATTCCTTTAAAGTTTTATTGATTCATTATCCTTTTTGTACCGGCTGGGAGCGACCCAGGTAGCTTATGTTGTCCGTTGTCTTCTTATCTTCTTGATTTCTGGATTGTCTTTTAAAGTTTTCAGTTGTTGGTTCTTCAGTTGTCTTCGGTTGTTAGTTAAGTTGTATCTTGTTTCCTCCCAATAGCTGGATTAAAATTTACCTTTATTATTTAAAAACTTTCAAAAGCAAATTTCAATAAGTTCACTGTATCAAACAAAGGGAAAAGGGAAAAAAAGGCCTGACGTTTCGCATGTATAATGCTTCTTCAGAGGCTAAGAAGAGCTGTCTTTGAGGAAGGGATATAAATCCTGGTTGGAAGGGGAGAGGGGTGGGTTCTCAACCCATTAAAAGAAGACTATTGGTTCATATAGTCTGATTGGATCTTAAAATAGTGTTTGCTAGTATGCTAGGTTGAGAGGGCATAAGTCAAAAAGGCTTAGGCTGATGTGTCAATGTCTGATTGGTCCTTGGCTGATATTAGCTAGTATGGTAGGTTGAGAGTACAATGGAACCCACTTATATCGGAAAATAGAGGGGCAAATAGGGTAAAACTGTAAATAAAAGGAGAATAAGAGAGAGAAAAAAAGAAAGGGGGGAGGGGGAGACGTTTAAATCAGTATATATTGTAAGAACAATGATTGTTTCCCTCCATTTGGGTATTGTGAGTTGCCACACCATTGCTATTTTTTTATTTTAAAAAATGAATATTTTTTGAAATAATCAGAAAATTATACAAATACAAAATAAAAATTATACTACGATAGAATAGAATGTACCTACATAGAAGTAGAATCTATCTAGGAAGGGATCATTAAAATGTACTAAAATGCCTACATAATCTACCTGGGTTCTAGTGGGTGTGGTTATGTAAATATATGTAGGTGTTGCATCATGGGTCTATCTATTCGGGGGGGGGGGGGGGGGGGAAACCACGAATGGAATCCATGTCTTTGTCCGTCACTAGCACCAGGAGGGATACCTGTTGAGTTGTTAAAAACAGCAACCACCAACCTGGAAACCAGAAAACTATTTAAAAGAAATAAATCAAATAAAAACAATATCTTGTCAGTTAAAATGTATCCCTACAGAAGCTTGTCAGTAAGTCAGCTTTCTGGAGTACAATATTGTCAATGTTTCCTTTATCATACGTGGATGGTGAGTGTGTGTTTGATCTCTCCAATAGGTGGAACTTGTGTATTGAATATGTATAATCTACAAGATAAAAAAAGTGTGTAAAACTTTGATTTCTGTAGGGTCTAATGCCAAGAATTCACCAAGAGTCTGTCAGTAAAATAAGTGTGGAGGGGGTGGACCGAGGGTGTATAAAATAAAACTGTAATAATAAAAATTGAAATTTTTACTAATTATTCTGCAGAGTACCGGGCAGATAAGTGGGAGCAATGGCACTGGCTAGGTTAGGTTTAAGAGGGTTTATGTTTGTACTGGTTTCAAACCTTTAGGTTGCACGGGCCTATTGCACCTTTGCCCGGTCTCGAGAACGTGGGAGGACATGAGAGACCGAGAGCTCCGAGGGGTCACCCACAACAATTCAAAAGTGTTAATGTTTTTTATTTATTCCTTGATATTCATCCCCAGTGGAGCCAAAGTATTAAGTTTTGAAATCCACCTGGATTCGGCCGCTTTTCTCTGGCCTCTGGTCCAGGTGGATTTCATCTCCAGACCGGTAATATGGAGGGAAGTTGTTGGGTGAATCTGAAAATGTTGGACCAGGTGTGTTTGTAATATGTTTTTTTCTAATTGTGTAGAGGTGCTGTTTGAGGCGTGTCAGGACTGTGTGACCGGTTTCTCCTATATAAATGTTGTGGCATAGTGTGCATGTTATGGCATAGACAATATTGGTACTATGGATGGTCATGAGTTGTGAAATAGGACTGGAGGTTTGTGCATGTGGATTTTGAATGTGTGAAAGTTGTCTATGATACTGTTGTTCAACGGGTAGTTTAGGGAGTAGGTTTATTGGAAAACTTTTGCAAAAATTAAGAGATCCCTTAAATTGGGGTTTCTGCGGAAAGCTGATATGGGTCTGAATTCCTGAAGTGGGGGGAATGTGCGTTGTGTTTGGGTGAAAGCGAATTTGAGTCTAGAGTGAAGGAGTCTGTTTACGTCAGAGAAGGTGCTGATAATGGGTATAATCTGGGGTTCTGTGTTTTACTTTTAAACTCGGACAAAACAGAGATGCTTGTTCTAGGTCCCAAGAAACAAAGAGATCTTCTGTTAAATCTGACAATTCATGTAAAGTCGTCTCAAATAAAACTGTGAAGGACCTAGGCGTTACTCTTGACCCTGATCTCTCTTTTGACGAACATATCAAGACTGTTTCAAGGACAGCTTTTTTCCATCTACGTAACATTGCAAAAATCAGAAATTTTCTGTCCAAAAATGATGCAGAAAAATTAATCCATGCATTTGTTACTTCTAGGTTAGACTACTGCAATGCTCTATTTTCCGGCTACCCGGATAAAGCACTAAATAAACTTCAGTTAGTGCTAAATACGGCTGCTAGAATCCTGACTAGAACCAAGAAATTTGATCATATTACTCCAGTGCTAGCTTCCCTACACTGGCTTCCTGTTAAGGCAAGGGCTGATTTCAAGGTTTTACTGTTAACCTATAAAGCGTTACATGGGCTTGCTCCTACCTATCTTTCCGAGTTGGTCCTGCCGTACATACCAATACGTACGCTACGGTCACAAGACGCAGGCCTCCTAATTGTCCCTAGAATTTCTAAGCAACAGCGGGAGGCAGGGCTTTCTCCTATAGATCTCCATTTTTATGGAACAGTCTGCCTACCCATGTGAGAGACGCAGACCAGTCTCAACCTTTAAGTCTTTACTGAAGACTTATCTCTTCAGTAGGTCATATGATTGAGTGTAGTTGTTTTCGGAAGGGAAAGTTTGATATGTTTCCTCCAAAATAAATGGTTAAAATTCCCTTTATTATTTAAAAACTTTCAAAAGCAAATTTCAATAAGTTCACTGTATCAAACAAAGGGACAAAGGGAAAAAAAAAGCCTTGACGTTTCGCATGTATAATGCTTCTTCAGAGGCTAAGAAGAGCTGTCTTTGAGGAAGGGATATAAATCCTGGTTGGAAGGGGAGAGGGGTGGGTTCTCAACCAATTAAAAGAAGACTATTGGTTCATATAGTCTGATTGGATCTTAAAATAGTGTTTGCTAGTATGCTAGGTTGAGAGGGCATAAGTCAAGAAGGCTTAGGCTGATGTGTCAATGTCTGATTGGTCCTTGGCTGATATTAGCTAGTATGGTAGGTTGAGAGTACAATGGAACCCACTTATATCGGAAAATAGAGGGGCAAATAGGGTAAAACTGTAAATAATAGGAGAATAAGAGGGAGAAAAAAAGAAAGGGGGGAGGGGGAGACGTTTAAATCAGTATATATTGTAAGAACAATGATTGTTTCCCTCCATTTGGGTATTGTGAGGTGCCACACCATTGCTATTTTTTATTTTTTTTAAATGATATTTTTCGAAATAATCAGAAAATTATACAAATACAAAATAAAAATTATACTACGATAGAATAGAATGTACCTACATAGAAGTAGAATCTATCTAGGAAGGGATCATTAAAATGTACTAAAATGCCTACATAATCTACCTGGGTTCTAGTGGGTGCGGTTATGTAAATATATGTAGGTGTTGCATCATGGGTCTATCTATTCGAGGGGGGGGGGGGGGGGGGGGGGGGGAAACCACGAATGGAATCCATGTCTTTGTCCGTCACTAGCATCAGGAGGGATACTTGTTGGGTTGTGAAAAACAGCAGCCACCAACCTGGAAACCAGAAAACTATTTTTTTTAAATCAAATAAAAACAATATCATGTCAGTTAAAATGTATCCCTACAGAAGCTTGTCAGTAAGTCAGCTTTCTGGAGTACAATATTGTCAATGTTTCCTTTATCATACGTGGATGGTGAGTGTGTGTTTGATCTCTCCAATAGGTGGAATTTGTGTATTGAATATGTATAATCTACAAGATAAAAAAAGTGTAAAACTTTGATTTCTGTAGAGTCTAATGCCAAGAATTCACCAAGAGTCTGTCAGTAAAATAAGTGTGGAGGGGGTGGACCGAGGGTGTATAAAATAAAACTGTAATAATAAAAATTGAAATTTTTACTAATTATTCTGCAGAGTACCGGGCAGATAAGTGGGAGCAATGGCACTGGCTAGGTTAGGTTTAAGAGGGTTTATGTTTGTACTGGTTTCAAACCTTTAGGTTGCACGGGCCTA